AACTTCAAGGCCACATTGTCTCAACTAGCCACTATTTTTTAGGCATGTTGGAAGTGAGATATATTTAACTCCTGAACAAGAAATGAGAAAGGTACTCCACCGTCATTGCATTCTCAAGATCATTAGTGACTGCAGATAACATGTATTGACCAGGGCAAATTTAATCTTCAAAATTGTTCCATTGAGACAAACATAATGAAGGATCAAATTCGTGGAAAACTTCAACTCAAAACACAATGAAACACAAAACTTCAATTTTTTTACCTAACAAGGTAATAATAAAATTCAGCATAATTCAATAAAAATAGAAAATTACAACAATAGCAAAAGCTGAGAATTAAGAACACTATCACATATTGCAAACCAATAGTTCATTCAAGAACCAAAACAGCCTAAAACTACACGTCTCACTGCAACACAAGTTGTCTATAACCACGTTTGTTAGACAACATTTATTGAAAAACGGTGTAGAAGACAAAGTGAAATTGTTATCCTCTCTTATACACACGCATTCGACTTTATAACGGTGCTCTGTCTCCCAAAGTCTCCATTACGGGTGCAACTCAGGCGGGTTCGGTCGGGTTGGGAGGTTGTCCAAACCCAGCCCAAGTTATGCTGAGATCTGCTAAGGCCCGAATTATAACCTGAGGTTGCCTACCCAAGCCCAACCCGAATTGCCCGAATTGTAAATAAATTTCATTTTTTTTTTTTTATATATATATAGAAAATCATTAACACCATCAAAACAAATAATTTATATAATGTAAAAAAGATGTCATTATAGTAGTCCTTACAATTTATGAGTGAAAATAAAAAGAAAAAAGTAAGCCGCTATATTATTTGTATATATAATATATATTCAATATGATTTAATAATCTAAATTATTTTAATATCATATAATGGCTAATAATTTATATATATTTAATATTTTTATATATCTATATATATAATTCAGATTTCAAGTTACTCGGGTTGTTTGACGTCTTTGCCCAAATACGTCCAAATTTAATTCAGACTTTTGAATTTTTATCAAAATCTATATTAAATTTGAAAATATCTTGTTCAAACCTTAAAAAAATTCAGGCTGAGTTCAGGTTGATTGGGTTGAGCCCGCCCAAGTTGCACCTTAGTCTCAATTTTGTTTGCTCTCTTCATCTCTCTCTCTTCTCGTTTTCTCTCACCATCCAAGGTCTAGGGTTTTTTCTGTCTCTCTTCATTCTCCTCAAGCTAAACTGCCTCAACAAAGTACTTGTTCAGATCTAATTCTAAATCCATCGATTCTTGAATCGATTTGGTTGAAATTTCGTAACGGTTTTTTGTTTTTTCTTGATTCTAATTCTGATAATTTTGCAGAGGAAGATAGACCAGTTGAGTGAAGAAGGATCGAGATCATCGGGATTGAGATTGGGACCGGGACTGAGACTGCGATTGGTCGAGTCGAAACAAGAGGAGGTGAGGAGATAGGTTGATTCACAGGAGTAATAGAGAAGATGATAGTGAGGACAGTTTAGAGGAGAGCGTGAATGATGAGGACGACGATGACGATGGAATCGCCGCTGCATTGCCAATCTAGGGTTTCATTGGAGCTCTAGGGTTTTAGAGCCCCTCGACTCGTCATGGCCACTCCGTTTCACCTGCCCGTCACTGCTGCTCAGGTCCTCTCTCTCTCTCTATATATATATATATTCACTCTCTCTCTCTCTAAAAAGATGGGTCTTTGGATTTCAGGTTGGGACGTACTTTGTTGGGCAGTATTACCAGGTACTTCAGCAGTAACCAGATTTTGTTCACTAGTTTTACAGTGAGGCCAGCACTATGCTTCGTATTGATGGGAACTCAAGAGAGACAGCCACGACAATGCTGGTATTGTCTTTTTAGATTCTCTCAGTATGTTTGTGAGTGTGTGTATGTATTTGAATTATAATTGAGGGTAGATTTCCAACAATCAAATGATGAGATTTCCAACAATCAAATGATGAGAACTACACTTTTGAAGCGGGGAATGGGTTTTTGTTGTCTCTCATACAATTCTAGTATCAAATTTACTGATGTTTTGCAGAATTATACACATTTGTGGAAATGTCAAACAATCAAATGATGAGAAATTCACCTTTTTTTTTTAATTTTTAATTTTTTTTTGTTGAATTTTATTCACAACAGCTATAGAATTGAACCTCTCATTCAGTTTCTTTAGAAGCATGTTTAATTTTATGACCTCAATGGTATAATAGTAACATGATGGATTGCATTGTAGCATATATGAGTTAACCATTGGGGAAGAATGTTCTGTTTTCGTTTTCTTTGAGGGTTGTTTCCACGTCCTCCGAGAAAATTAAGAAATGAATAATAATCTTTTTTAGTAATTAAATTTCCTTACACATTTGTGTATCTTTCTTGTGAAGGTCCTGTATAGGGAACTGGAAGCTCATCTTAAATTCATATCATGACATATTTGAAGAGAGAACCGAGGTGAGAATTGTTATGATCATTTGTAAGTGTGTTTGTTTGGTTTGGCATTCTTTTTCTTTGTGCTAAATATTTGAGGATATTTTGTTTAGGTTGATTTGAAGGACAAGTGGAGAAATATGATACGGTATTGACTTTTCTAAAAGGATTCTGCAGTTGTTTGTATTATAGTTGTGGTATGCCCTTTTATCTTGCTTTTCTCCTTGCATACCCCTGAGTTCATTTAAGTGAGGTTCTTAAAAGAATAAAGGGTTGGCAATAAATTCTAATTTATTTGACGTATCGTTTCAGGGACTTCTGTAGACTGTATATGATATTTGTACATCATGTTCTATACTTGTAGTCAATATCCTAACATTCTAATATTCAAAGAATGATTGGGAGGATAGTTCTTGAAGGTTGATTTTGTCTTCATTGCTTAAATACAATAACTTTCCACCAACAATATCTCTGCACTACTCAAGTTGGAGATTGTTATGCATCTTAAGTTGTTTAAGTTGTTTATGTACCAAAATATATATATATATATATATTAAAGACTCAAAAATTACTGGAATAAAGCTCCCCTGCCCCTTCTTTGTTTGTGAATACACGAATGTGTTATGCCTTTTTTTTTTATCAGCTTGAATGTGTTATGCATAATAAAGCTTTTCAAGCATAGGTGGGTTTTGGGTTCAACTTGTTTGGTTCTGCAGAATTTGGGGAAGCTCTAGTATGGCTTGAGATGGAACTGAGCCAAAGAACCTTTTTCCACCATCACTTAGCATACTTGTCAGCGGCATAGTGACTTGGCTTTATAATTTCGTATATTAAGATATATTATGCTTCTCTAATTTTATGCTCTGTTTTTTTATTCTGAGGAATATATTCTTTAGATTTTTGAGACCCAAAAAACAAAAAAGTGTCTAACCCTCGTGTTATTTACAAATTGCAATCGTATATTCTTTCTTTGCAATATGCTCTTTTTTACGTGTACTACATGCAGTAAACTTGACTTCACATGTTATTTTACAGATTGCAATTGTATGACTTAGTTGAGCACAAGGTTCAAGGTGATGGTAATTGTCAGGTTATTTGTTCTTCTTTCTCCGCTTCTAAATAGTAAGTTGAGTATACATACGTACAAATATATATTGTTTACCCCAAATCGCAACTATTTAAAGCAAAATAAACTTTTTCTTCTTGTGTGCGCAAGTGGTGGAGAAGTGGTTGGTAGCAACATTTGTTGCATTTGACATAATGTCAAAAGATATGGGCCTGAAAAGTAATAGAAACATTATTATGTGTCTTCATAAAGGGTTAGGGTGGTCATACAGTCATTGAGAGGGGAACTAAAATTTACCCCTTGTTTTATACAATTTCAATATTTCGTTTAGAGCAGGGGACTGGACTTATTTATACCATGTCTTTTTTGTCTCATTTTGATGTATTATTGTATGAGTTTTGCATGTCACTAGGTCCTCAGTATGTCAGCATGTCCTCGGAATTTCTCTACTTTAATAGTCACTTTGAAATCTAATGCCTTCTTGTCATGTAATCTGCGTTTTAATGCATATGCCATTTGTTTCTTGTTTAAAATTATAGACTCCTATTTCAGTTATAAATGGTGTAAAGTAATTGTCACTACAACAAAACTGAAATTTTAAGGTGGCTAAAAACACCTCAACAAGTACTCTGTACTGACTGAGTCATAGGTGTAGTTTTAATTGGCAAACTCAAGTTGTTGATCTGATTACTTTATGTTGCAGCAATCGTACTTCTGCTTCTTTTTTGTCTTGAAAGTAGTAATTCATCTTTTATAGACTAACTGAAACATATCCTAGGGAACCTTCTGTGTAGCATCATGGCAAGGAATAGAAGTTGCTGTGAAAAAACTTGGGGAGGAAGTGACTGCTGATGAGGATAAAATGTGAGTTGTCCATATGATGGCATTTTCATTTTGTTTACATTATTTTCTGAACTTTTGGTTTTCATTTTGCTTTTTGTTGATTTTGCTCCGGAGGGCTTTCAGCGATGAGCTTGAATTGCTTCAGAAGATACGACATCCAAATGTAGTCCAATTTCTGGGTGCTGTAACACGAAATACCCCAATGATGATTGTGACAGAATATTTACCCAAGGTCTTTCTCAATTTTTTGAGTACTCACTTCTTATTAAGTGGCACTTGATAGTCAACTTTTTGCTGATTTCCAGCTTATTAGATTGCAGATTTAATATTCTTTATTGTTTATGGCGCAGTAGGAGTTCTTCTTGTCCTAGCTATTTGTCCTTGTAATTGCAGTTGGTGTTGTTTTTGCTATTTCCAATTCTTTCTTACCCTTTGCTGAATTTGACCTCTTCTTAATGCTTGTGTTTCAAATATATATTCAATCTTTGAACTTCAATTTTTATGGTGGTTTGTGTCAACAGAAGGTGAATTCTTTTGATGTCTTCCATCTCAGAATTGGACTGCTATTTACACTGAGCAATGCTTTTTATATCTTTTAACATGTCATCTAATGCTGTATATGGATGTGAAGATTCCATCTAGCAAGTGCTTCTTGTTTTGATTTTTTTCAAGATCTTGAGCTTAATTCTCATTAGAGTGAGCTTACTTCTCAGAAGAGTTGGGTCCCCTCTTCTTTCCAAAGCCAACAACTGCAAACAATTGTGAGAATATGTTGTATATTAGGAATTAGTGTAAATATTAGGAATTGGTTATGGATTTAGGAATTATATTGTATATTAGGAATTAGGAATTAGTGTACTTTTCATAATTGGTTATACTAGGAATTAGTGTGAATAGGAATCTTTGTATTTCCTTTTTCGCTAATTCCTAATATAACCAATTATGCCATATATACAAAAATTCCTATTTACACTAATTCCTAATATAACCATTATGCTTTATATACAGTGTATTCTCACAACAAGAAGTGCACAAGTCATTAACAAATTACAACATTGATTCTTGCTGAGAAAAAAAGAGTTGAATAGGAATATATATATATACAGTAATGCTACAGAGCCCGAATATAGGGGCTCGAATTTGGCTCGAAATTAGGGGGAAAGAGGAGGAGGAGAAGAAGGAGAAGAAGAACTCAACTGGAGGGGCCAACAAAATCGGGCGGAGGCGGAGGCGGATGCGGAGGCGGCGGCGGGCGGAGGCAGAGGTGGAGGCGGGGCTGCAATGCCGACGAGCGACGAGGGACGAGCTGCGAGATCGGCCGACGAGCTGGGACGCCGACGAGCTGCGACGACGATGACCTGCGTTCTCGCTCTCCCCTCTGTGTTCTCTCTCTCTCGCCTCTGTTCAACTCAACGAAGAAGAAGGAAGAAAAGGAAGAAAAGAAAAGGAAGGGAAAAAAAAAAAAAATCAAAACCCAAAAAATCAAAACCCAAACGACGTCGTTTTGGGTTTTGAGCCAAATTCGAGCCCCTAATTTCGGGCCCTCAAACATTATTTATATATATATATATAAAATAAAATTCAATCTCAAATTTTCAGCATTTTGGGTTTTAGATTACAAAGTTCCCCCCCTCTCCTCTCTCTCTCTCTCTCTCTCTCTCTCTCTCTCTCCATGAAGCCCTCAACTTCAATCTCTCTCTCTCTTGAGGTTCGGGACGTTGTTGATGCGGAAGGTCAAGAGATGCTTCACGTGTTACAAGCCGACAGATCACGGTAATGGTGAGAAGTCGCCGAAGAACTGTAACTATTACAGTGAAATGAGTGCCGAGGAGAAGAATGAGAAGATAACCTCTGCCATTAGCTACTGCGAGGTTAGTGAACATTAGTCTCGTTGGTGTGTTATTGTTGAAAAAAATATTTAATAGTTTTGAACCTCATTTTTATTTGGGAGAATTTCGAAAAAGTGGAAAGTAAAAAAAAATAATTTTTAAATGATGGTATAAGATTTATTTGCATTATCTAATGCATAAATCATTTGTACCTCCATCATTTTGAAATTATTTTTCTACTCTCCAATTTTTTGATATTCTGCCTTTTTATTTTCACCATTCCAACTGGGTATCTGGCCTGTCTTATTATGATATCTTTGTTGTATCTTATTTTATGCTTTTTGGTTTTAAGGAAACTAAAGTTGCACATATGCTTTAGGTAGCAAATTTTGAGTACATTGATGAAGTGGAAGCAGCAGCAGAAGAGGAAGCACGAAAGGCATCAACTGAAAATAAAACTACCACCAACAACCCAGATAGAGCTATCTACTGGGAAGAGTTGTTGAAAGACAGATATGAAGTACACAAGGTTGAAGATTTTAATGCCATGGGCAAGGGGAATAGACGCCGTAAACAGGTATTTTACATCATTTTAAAAGGTACATTGCCTTTGTAATCAATTTAATTTGCTTGCACAGAGGGTTTGTCTTCTAAGCCCTTGTGTGCATAATTCTTTATCATCATTGGAGAATTAATCCACATTGCATTGTTATGTTTCTCATGTGCTCTTGGGGCTCATTTAGATGGTGTCTGTAGAAGACGAGGACCTTGCTGGTTTGGAAGATGTACGTTCCGAAGGAGAAGACGATAACTATGAAGCTGAGTTAACTGATGAAGAAACAGCTGCATCTGGAATTCTAACTGGGAGGAGGCCTTACAGAAAGAAAATCTGTGGTATTGTTTTGTGTAGCTAGTATCATCCTAATACAATAATTTGAAGAAATTGGTGATCATGTTTGATCATAGGCCCTTTTTCCAATTATTTGCAGTGGATAGTGCTGAATCACTTCCCTTGATGGAAGGTGAAGGGAGATCATTTAGAGTAAAGGGATTCAATCAAAATCAAAGGGCTGCATTTGTTCAGATTATGATGAGGTTTAGTTTTGGATGTATATTTAAATGCAGAATCAACTTGTTTTATTCGTATTCTAATAAATGATATATTTGTGCTCGTATGATGGTCTTTAATGATATAGATTGTTTGACAGATTTGGAGTTAGGGAGTTTGACTGGGCAGAGTTCACGCCACGCTTGAAGCAAAAGACTTGCGAAGAAATTAAAGAGTGCGCAATATAATATCTTCTTAATATTTGGAATCTTCTTGATTAGTGACTTGTAGTGATGCTAAAATGTGACTGCAGCATTTTTGTTAATCGAAAATTTTCATATTTTTATTTTTATTTTTTATTATTTATTTATTTATTTGCAATTTTGTAGCAGTGGGATGCATTGATTTATGGTTAATCTTTGTTGTCCAGATATGGGACTCTTTTCTTGACACACATCGCTGAGGATATTACTGACTCACCAACCTTTTCAGGTGATTATTTATTCTAGTTAGTTTTTTTGCTGCTCTTTCTACATCTTTTATGACCTCTCTCTCTCTCTCTCTCTTTTTATCTGCTATTAATTTGTTGTTCTCACTCATTATTTTGCTGCAGATGGTGTTCCTAAAGGACTAAGGATAGAAGATGTACTTGTTAGGATTGCAGTGTTACTTCTGATAAGGGACAAAGTAAGTTTTGTATGCTTGATGAAAGAGTTCCACTTGGTTGGTTAGTACTTTTGTAGCTTTGGATTTTTAAAAGAGTGGTCAACTTGGGATTTTTAAAGCTATGATTTGTGTGGACTGTTGTTCTCCTATCCCTCCTTATTTCAAATAGTGTTTAAATGGTGAGAGCCTGGTTTTTCCATTTTTAACTTCCTAACATATAGGTCTAGGATGCGTGACATGAGTCTAAAGCATTGGTGTTTTTCATTTAAAAAATTCAATTTTAAAAAAAATTACAATAAGCCGAACTCTTAGTTGAAGCAATCCATGTATGCACATTGGCATGGATTCAAAAATCCATAGAACCTTAATTTTGAAATGCTAACTCATTGCACAGAAGTCTAAAAAACTATAATCCTTTCCATCGGTAGTATCATGGTATGCCCCCTTAACATCTATCAAGCAGTCCTTAAATGTAAATGTTGCTTCAATGAAGATTTAGAAATATCATATATTGAATCTTAAAACTGTTGTGGTAATTTTATTTAAAATTTTAACTATAAACCTTTTTGTACAATGATAGGTGAAGGCTGCATCGGAAAAGCCAGGCACTCCCCTTTTTCCAGATGACATAGTATCTCGTTTCCCAGGATTGAAGAGGGGAAGGTTTTGGAAAGAGCATCATGATCTATTACTACTCCGTTCTGTATTAAAGAATGTTTCTTTTTTATGTTTATTTCTCTTTTCTGTTCTAAAAGGAGGTAAATTGAACGAAATGGAGATAGAAAGGAAGATGCATCCTTTATAAAGAAGGGAAAGATATGAGAGAAGTATTAAAGTACATAGCTGTAAGTTATAGTTTGATGGGAATTTTATGTGTTGGTGACAATTATTTTTTGATTTGTTTAATTTGATTGCCAACCACGGTTTTAGATTGTGTTATGGTAATTTGGTGCAAAACATTTTCTAGATACTCTGTGAGTTACTTGAGAAAAAATAAATAAATTCATTTTCAAAGTAAATATTGAATAGAAGTGATGATGCAGTACAGTACTAGCTATACTTGTCAATGAGTTTAAAGTTTATGTTTCAGTTAATGTCCTAAAAGCATGCCATAGCTATTGACTTCCACGTCTTTGATATGATGGACTCTTGCTAATAACACTCTATGGCAATTGGTTGTATTGCTTATCATTTATATGTTTATTTTTACAAATGTTATTATTAACCATGAGCTTCTGATTTTATGTATGTTTCTCTGACAAGCATTTTTTCGTTGCTTTTTGATATTGGAAATAAAATGGTCATTGGATGGGCTCAAGCCTTGTAAACTTGAATAATTCCAAAAGTGGATTTTGACAAAATACAAAGATGGGACAAGAAATACATTTTTTATATGTGAATTTATGCATCTATGGAAGTGCTTGTGTGTTTATGAGTAAATGTCTGTGTCGTGTGCACTATTTTTCCAGAACTATGGGGCAAGTCGCATTTCCATAGCATGTCACACCCCCAATGTTTTATGTGAGTGCCAAACACCAAACATTCTGGCACAAATTTTCAAAATAAAAAATCTATAAGAAGCTCCATAAGCTACACCAAACAAGCCCAAACTTTGATAGGATTAGTCGTAAGATAAGTGCTCATAGTTTATATATGATAGATATTGATAGTCAAAAGTTCATAACTAATATGGTTGGATGTGAAGGCATGGCTATGGAAGGTGGCAAGCTATTGTTGATGACAAGGACCTGAAGGTTCAAGAGGTCATTTGTCAGGAGCTGAATCTTCCGGTTGTAACTCTCCCTGTACCAGGAGCATCTCAATCACAAGATGGTGCAAATGTGGTTAGTGCTGAAACTCCTATGAATGAGACAAAGGGAACTGTTGTTGGGAACGATTTAGCAGTTGATGCTGCAAACAGAGCACCTGACGCTGCAAATCGATCACAGTTATTTCAAGATTCTTCGTCATTATATCATTATAGAGAGATGCAGAGAAGACAGATTGAATTTATCAAGAAAAAGGTTCTTTTTCTGGAGAAATTACTAAACACAAAATACCAAAAAGAAGTCTTTGTAAGTTTATTCACAAGTTTTACTTCCTGCATATTCTTCTCGTTTGTGTGTTAATGTTGAAAAAAATATTTTGGCACTGTTTGGTTGGAATTTCTAAAATACTTTTTGACCAGACAAAGAAAAATGAAGCA